CCCCCCGGCTCAGCGTCACCCTGTTCCGCTCGCGTTCCGCCTATTTAATTTCCTCCTTCCTCCTACTTGTTCTCCAACTTGTTCTCCGTGTTTTTAATCCTCTTTCCGAGCGCCTCCGCCGAAACACGGGGCGCGGACACACTCCGCCGACGCGACGCTACGCACCTCCCTGTCTTCCGCTGATAAGATTGAAGACCCTGATCTCCGAGGGAAGCTTCAACTTTCGACGCTCCGCCGAGGAGGCAACTTCTTTGGAGATTATGTGACCCACTTACATAATACTCGATTTACATTAAATATAGGTCGGGTTTTATTCTAATATTTCTGTATAGGAATCTGATATTTTTCACCGATGTTGTTATTGTTGTTGTTTTTTTATCATTATTACTTGCAACCGCGCATGAGAAGTAGGACCGCACAGTCGCGCTAAGGTAAAACTCCGTATGACGTGTGACGCTGCCACATTTCCTTCGATAATTACCGAATTCACTGGGAAATTCTTAATATTTTTCCCCGATTTTTTAGACAATTTTGTTCGCAATTTCATCCATAATTCCTGGAAATTTCAAGGAACAATTCTTCAAAAGTAAATATTTTAACGGGGGAAATTTGGCAACGGCTAAAGGCTCATAAGGCGTGTTTCCTTAGCACAGCACCATAATACTCGGAAAAATGTAATAGAGTTTGGTCACGCCGAGGTTGGAATGGAATAGCCTTCTTTGAGGTCAGGCTCCGCCCCTATTTGACCCTCAAAAACACCATTTATTGCGAATACGTTAAAGAATTTATCTTTGAGTTTTCTAACACTCAACAACAAACTGTAGCAGAGTATTGAACCGATTGAATTATCTTATCCTCATGAAGTTAAATTATACTCAAATCGATTTTGCAATCTTGGAATATGGTCACATCCCTCGTCTAAGAAACGACGATTTGTGTAAAACGTTCTCTATTGTCCTGAACATGCCCTATAAATCTGTGAATAAAAGCGTGCTGTAATATCATTGCATGACTAGCTCAATTAGGTTCTACACCGGGACACTTTTCAGTCATTCATTCATTTGCAAAGACATGAATCTTTCTGGTTTGCCCCTGTCTTGATACGACTCTTCTTTCAACTTCACTCACTTCAACAACACATTTTGCATATAACTCGAGAGCAGTTTAGAGCAAGCGTGCACACAACATCTCGGTTACAAACAATGGACATGAAGGTTTTAGTCACGAAATATTTCATGGGTGGTTTTAAACATGTCAAGAAGCATGAGTCCGACGAAAAAGTGCCTCCGTATAGCGTGGAAGGTTTCGCTCTGAAATTATATCCAACGGTGATTCAACAAATACACAGGTCTACTATCAAAAACAGGCAAGGATGTAATTTTGGAGGTTCAGCAGCCAAAAGTGCATGAGCATACATGTATGGAATGCTCATGAACTTATCCTGGTATGAAATCTTCCTCGGCCAAGCACCGACAGTTACCGCTATTTACCCGCAATAGGAATCTTACATATTTGCACTGTGTCCAAAAAGGAGGATTTTTTTTAAATCCTGAAAAGATTACCCCTGGGGGTTAAAATAACCCATTTTTCTATCACCAAAGTGCCTTTTACGGTAGCTACCTTTAAAACTTATTTTTGGGGGATTTTTTCTCGAAAAAAATCAATTTTTAAAGAATTACTTGATTATAATAGTAAAAAACAAAAAGTTGTGTCATTTGTTGCATGAGTAGCCAAAAATTCAGTGAATTTCCACCGTTAAAGATTAAAAAAAAAAGTGAAATAGCATAGCATACATGGTGGTCCCTTCTTATGAATTCACATATATAAAGGATCACTCTAGCAATAAGCCTGAAAGCCTGATATAATGATGAGAGTTATTTTATATGCATGCATCGCTATATTAGTGTCAGTTTCCCGGAGGAAAATTGGGTAGGAGTATGAACGAACCCGAAATGCGAAGTGCTCTACAGTGATTTTAAAACAGGGAAGATTACGAGAGTGAATTTTGAGGAAGGATTTTTGTAGAAATTGTTCAGAGAACGTGAATAATGCTGCAGCATTATTTTTTATTTAAAGATTTTACTAGAAT